TGACTTTCACACTTCAATTTTTTTCTGCTTACTTTGGATTTATCATCTTTACTTAAGACAGAAGATGAAGTCATTGACTTAATCTCTCTTCCTTCTTGTAATAAGCTCTTTGGTCTACACAAGTCCTTCTCTTACTGCTTTAACGGCTTTAACAGTATCTAACAAATTTTGATATGTTTTGCTTTGACTTTCAAACTTTTATTTTAAAGAGAACAAAACCAAACAAAATAAAACAGAATAAAGCCAAGCAAAACAAAATAGTGGAAGTGATACAATTTCAAAACAGGGTAAGAAATCAACCATTGCTACCATAATGCCTCTGCTCATACCATCAGACATAACAACATCAAACAAAACAGAACAGAATAAAACCAATCAAAACAGTGAATAAAACAGAACAATAAAATGGAGCCAAACAAAACAGTGAGAACAACATTGAATTTCAAAAACAAGACAGAAGAAAAACCCCCATAGTTGCTATATTGTATGTTGTTATTTGCTAAATAGATGCTCAGACTACAAAAGTCTGCAAAGTCAATCAAATAAGATAAGCATTAAGTTGTTTTGTATCTTAGTTGCCATCAACTCAGCCTGTGTTCCTCTGAAACAGCTGGTTGGGGACGGGGTTGTGGGGACTCAGCTCTCCTTGTCTCCCAGCTCCTGTCGGTTGGCTCACTGGAAGGGCACTTCCTGTTTCTCTTCCAGCTCAGTTACCGCTGGCTTAAGGCAAGGGGGAGTTGGCTTCCTGTTTCTCCTTCCTTCCAGTCTATGGCTACCCCAAACTTTTTTTTTTTCTAATATCTCTTTTGATTTCTTCTTTGATCCATGGTGATTACATTTCTAATTATTTGGGTTATTTTCTTGTATTACTAATTTCAAATTTAATCCCACTGTGGTCAGAGAACATTGTGCGGCTTGAATCTTTTAAAGTACATTGTGACTCAGTTTTCTTTCCCAGAACACAGTCTATCTGCACAGAGCATGTGCACCTGACTAGAATGAGTTTTGCAGTGGGTGTTCTCCACGTGTCACGCAGGCCAACTGGTCAACAGGGGTGCCCCAGTCTTTTATATTGACTATTGAGGTTACTCTGCAGAAACAAGATGGGCCTCCACCCAAAATATGATTTCCATATTGAAACTAATGAACAAAAAGAGAGAGAGAGAGAGAGAGAATATGCAAAGCTGTGTTCTTCAATAATGAAATGAAGTTTCTGGGGAAAGCGAGGCAGCCTCCAAGCAGGTCCATAATAGACTGAGGGACCAGGGAAAGAGACTGGCTTGGGGTGGTTTTCCCGGAGGCCACAGCAGGGTGAGCTGAAGGGGCCTGGGTGTGGGTAGGGATGGTCTGGTTGGATGTAATTCATAGACTGGTGCCAACGGTGGAGCACCCAGGCTTTCTGCTCAGCTAGCCCAGATGTGGGAGAGAAGGGGAAGAGGGAGGTGAGGTTTAAAAGCTGTCAGCAGGCAGACATCAGACATTGGAGTCGCAGGGTTGGGTTACAGTTCGGAGGTAGAGCGCATGCTTAGTGTAAGTCCCTGGTTCAAACCCCAGCACCATAAAAAAAGACAAAAAAGAAACCTGAAGCACAACTCTGGACTACTATGGGTGTCTATTTGTTCTGCCAACTATAAAACTGTACATATAAAACTGTACAGATTTCTTCTTGTAGTTCTGTTTCCTTTATTTTGATGCTGTTGCTAGGTACATATATGTTTAAAAATACGTTCTCTTGTTAAGTGCTCTGTCACTATGAAATGACTATTCGGTATTAGAGCCACCCTGCTTGGTTAAGGTTAGGGTTTTATCTTGTCCATTCATGTGCTTTATATTTATGGTGTTTACTGTAGGCAATGTATACCCGAGAGTGGTTCTGTTTATTAGGTCTGATCTAACAATGCCTTTTAACCGATTAGACCACTTATAAATTATTAAGTTAGGTTTAAGTGTTAATAGTTTCTTATTTTTTATTGATTTCATCTGTTCTTTGCTGTCCTGGGTGGGCTTGTGATCAAAACCAAAACCTCTGTAGCCTTTGACATTCACCTGGCCGACTGCCCCTGTGGCCCGGGTGGTCCCCACTGGCCAGTGTCCTATAGTCTTTGATTCTGATGCCTTAGGGCTGTGAAACATTGCCTGGACTCTATCTGCCAAGCCTATGTGGGGCTCAGGAAGGGAAGCAGTAGGTTATTTCTCCCTCTGTTTTCTGCTAAAGATTATTCTTGATTCTTCCCTCTGTCCCGCTTCCTCTTTCTACCGGTGAACACACTTGGAAGTCACTTACATAATTAGATACAAGTAGAGGTGCGCATAGAGTTTTGTGTGTCAGGATGATTCCATAACCCCTGTGCTGTGGATCGAATGTTTGTGTTCACTCAAAGTTTATAAATTCTAGCTGTAATCCCTTGTGTTAATGTATCTGGAGATAGGAACTTGACAGGAATAATTACGATGAAATGTAATCTTAAGAGCGGGACCCTGATCCAATAAGTTAGTGCCCTAGAAGAAACATCAGAGCCAAATCTTTGTGCAGAGTCATGCAACACACAGTGAGATGGTGGCTACCTACACACCAAGAGAAGGGCCCTCAGAATAAAACCCACCTTGCATACCTTGATCTTGAGCCTCCCAGCTTCTGGAACGTGAGAAATACATTTCTTCTAAGTGAAACATTCTGTGGAACTTTCTATGGCATATTAACCTAAGACGCTACTATGTGTTTCTGCTTTCCAAAGTCAAGGCTTGACTCCAGGATTAGGGCACAAAACAATGAGCTGGAAACCTCATTTTAGATACAGTGGTACCTGGGTTCATGAGCTCAATTCTCTCCGCAATTCTGGTCACAAACTGAACAGGATGAGAACTGAATCAAATTTCCTCTTGAGGTCAACATCGAACCTAGCCACTGAATTTGATCTGGTTCTCATCCAACTCAGTTTGTGACCAGAATCTTGGAATAAAATATGTGAACCAAAGTACAACTTCTGGTGCTCAGAACTCCTAAAAATACTCAATTCACCCAGCATCACTGGGTATTCCCACAATCTAGAGAACTGACCAGACCTTTAAGTAAGATGCACTTTAAATCCGATGGGGAGAGCATTTTGTTGGCACAGAAATGACATTTTGGGATGCTGGCAACATTTTAATGCCATAGCAGCATCTGTGGCCTCTAGCAGTGAAAAAGTCCAGGTGCTGCTAAAATCCACTCCCCCACCATCCCCGGAGAAAACGCTGAACACTCAGCATCCCGATGCATGGGAATGGTGGCCCACATCTCATTCCTGCGGGCCAGGCCAGACCCTGGGGACATTTCCACTGCGAGGGTCCTGTCAGGACTATTCCCAGCTCCCACCCTACACTTTGGATGGGCCCCACCATGAGGGTGTCTTCCTGGAGCTGATGGTCCTGCCCTATACCCCACCTGGCTGCCACCCTTGTGGCCAGGGCACTTGAATTCTTGAAGGAGAGTTATTTCCACGAATGCTGTTGTGCTAAGGGTGAGTAACCTGGGTTTCCAAAGAGCAGACAAAAGGCAGAAGGTCACAGAGCTCTGTGAGCTAAGGGGACCCTGAATCTGTGCCTGCAGGGTGGCTCCGGGGTGAGCTCCAGGGCCCTGCAAAGGCTAGGCTGTCTGGCCAGGACAGGCCTCTGGGATGTCCCCCTGCCCCACCCCCCTCACATCTGTGTTACCTGCCTGCCTGCCTGAGAGCCACCAAAAAAGAAAAAGTTTGAAAAACCAAGTCCTTTCTCCCCCAAAATATGTTTTATTCTTGCATTACATTGTGTTTCCAATTGTGAATAAAAAATGCTTAGAAAGTGGTTACAAAACAGCGTGAAGTGGACTTGAGGAGGGCTGGCCCAGGAGGTCCATCACAGCCCGCTGGCTGACACGAGGTGGCCTGGTGGTGTCTGCCTGTCAGTCGGGTTTGTCGCTCTCGGGATCTGGAAAACAAAACCGCCACAGCTGGCTTGTTATGAGCCTCTGGGCGGCCCAGTGCCCCTGTGCATCCTGCCTGGGTGCCAGGCCACTGTGCTGGGAGCTGCCGTGTCAGAGATGAAAGGCCAAGGCCAGGGTTGGGCCCGTCTCCACGATCATGGCCCATCCTGAGTCCTGCCCATAGCACACAGCCCACCAGCCTGCTGTCTGGCCATCTTCCTTCTGTGACAACCAGGCACTCAAAATGATCACAAAACCAGTGTGCCTAGCAGAGCTACCCTCTGGACCCTTGGGTAGCTAGGCACGACCAGAGACCACAAATTGCCCCGCGTCCCTTTGGGGGCCATGGTGGGTAAGGTGCTACGCGTAGTCATGGGGGAATACGCTGGCCATGGAGCTGGATGACCCTCGTCCCCAAGCAGAGCTGTGAAGGCTGCTGCCGCATCTTAACAGGAAGGCAGTGAGGCCACAGAGGTGGCTGCCCCGAGCTGCAGGGGCTCCGATGGGCTCAGATCTCGGAGTGGTCAGGGTCAGGCCCACGATGCCTGTGCACGAGTCAGGCACCACATGAGGTGACCCTTCCTGCAAACCGTCACCTTCCCTGCAGCCCTGTGCCCAGCACCATGCTCACGGCCCGTAGGGGCCATAGCCCCATGTCTTCCTCTGGATAAGAATGTGAAAGCGAGCACCCCGCCAGCCCCGTCCTGGCCCTCACCACCCACAGGGACAGACAGGGTGGAGACGGGGTCCACATAACGGTTAGACTCAGCCCTCCGCTTGCACTTCTAAAAGGAACTTGGGCTCAGGGGCAGGCAGAGCCTGGGCACCGGGGTCATGCCCTGCAGGTGCAGTGCCAGGGCACGGGCAGCCCCAGCGGGGGCCTGGCGCTCGATGCCAGTCTCATGGGTTCTCCTGTCTAGTGTGGGGTCAGCATAGCTCCCAGCTCAGAGCAGAGCCCAGGGCCAGCCAGCCTGGCTCCCCTCTCCTCTGCTCTCTACAAGGCGGGTCAGTTTGGCTTTTACGTGGACAGAGGGTAAGAAAATGATGTTGTTTCACAGTGTTTTCAAGCAAAAATGTTTATTTTTCTCCTTCACATACACAATCTCTTGGGGATCCCATGCCACTACTATTGTCGTAGGAGGAAAGGACTGGGCGTGCGGGGCAGCGGGAGAGGCTGCCCCTGCTTCACCGAGAAACAGGTCCACGTGGGGGTCAGCCTGGCACAGAACACGCGAATCTCACCACAGCGGATGCCCTGGCAGAGGACCCTGCACAGTTCACCGTTAACTTCGTTTCTAACTGAACAGACGACTCAGACATTAACACTAAAATGATCCGGTTGGGCTGGGGATTTAGCTCAGCGGCATAAGTGCCTGCCTTACAAGCAGGCCGTCGTGAGTTCGATCCCCAGTACCGATAAAAAACAAAAATAAAAAACAAAAACAAAAAAAAAACAAAAAAAAAAAAAAAAAGATCCGGCTGCTCTAACAAATACAAGATCCACAGCAGGGCACTGTGGGACTCTCACCTCCACCCAGGGCTGTTCTGTGCCCATGGAAATCACCGAAGGGCCCTCCCCACAGCAGTGTGGCTCAAGAGGGGCAGCAGGGCCTGGTGGGCTCCTGCAGGAGTCATGGGAAAGGAGGCCCCTGAGTGGAAGGGGTGGGAGGCCCTGCAGCAGAAGGGGCAGGGCGCCTCCAGGGCGTCTGCTCTTCTGGCATTTTCCGGCAGGTTCTTCACAGTGAAACAAAGCTGCCGATGCTCCTGACCACACACGCACCCTGCCCGAGGGCCTCTCAGCCACTGAGAAGGCTGGGGACCCCAGCCCCACTGAGGATCAAGCCCAGTCCTCAGTGTCCAAGAGCACTGTTCAATTTTCTTTCTTTTCGTTTCTAAAAAGGCATCTATAATAGAAAACTGAAGATCAAACTTCAGCTTTGGGCGGGGGATTTAGCTCAGAGGCACAGCGCCCACCCGGCAAGCGTGAGGTCCTGAGTTCATGTTACCGTACCTCCCCAATAAAAACACTTTAGCTTCAGCTTTATAAACCATTCAGATCTCTGCAACTTCACACAGTACAGATACTAAAGCAAAGCCAACAGTAAATGAGATAAGATCTTTTTCTGATTTTTAAAAACATTTCCATCAGGGAACAGAAAAGCTGGAATTCAAGATATTGCACTTCTACAGGGCGGGTGACAAGGTTCTGACCTCCAGAGGAGGACAAGGGTGTGCAGACCATGGAGGCTAAGGATGATCAAGGCCTTAAGCAGTAGGAGAAGCTTGTCCTGCTGTCCACTGGGCCCAGGGCCAGGAGGCATGCAGAGGCCAACCCATGATCACACAGGGCTACGTCATATGCAGCCGGTGGCCGGGGGTGCTGACAGCAGGCGGCCACAGGAACACAGGCAGCACAGGAACCTGGGCAGGGCTCCAGCTGCCCCAAAACCCTGGGGGGCTTCCTGGGGCTGCCCAGGGCCCCCAGGCCACTGGAGCTGGGCACAGGCCTCCATACTGACCCAGGAGCAGTGCACAGGGTGGGCGTGGGAGGCTGGAGTGGGCAGTACCTGGTGTGGGCACCGGCAGGGTTGGAGTGGCTCCAGGAATGGCTGCGGTGGACAGCGGGCCAGGTGCTGGGGCCAGGTATGGCATCCCCACTCCTGCTCGAGGTGTGGTCATCTGGAAGACAGGTCAGAAAAGGAAGGTAGGTGGGGCTGCAGTCAGCTGGTCTCCGCTCATGCTCTGGGTCCCTGAACTCTCTATATCCTCAGGGAAAAGTGGTCCTTGGACCTGCCATGGACAGGCACCCCCATGGCCCACGGTGCAGGCTGGGAAACAGCAGCCTTCCCTCCCTTGCCCCCAAAGGCTCCAGCCTGGTCACCTCTAGACCACAAGCTTGAGGTATTCACAGACCCAAGCATGCCTCGGGGCAGAACTCATAAGGCCTGGTCACCTGCGGGCACACGAGTGACCCCCCCCCCTTTACACAGCTGACACAAGCGTCTCCTCTGAAATGACAGTGTGGGTGATGACGGCTGCAGCCCAGGAGCTGAATGGGAGTGGGCACTCCTGTGTGGGACAGGGCAAATGTGCAAGGGGGGATGCAGGCCGCCTCCTGTGCCTCGGGCCTAGTAGACAAGGTCGAGGGACAGGAAGGGGCAGCAGGGGGCTCACACAACCTGCACCCCACTACACAGAACCCTGCAGGGCTACTGCAGGGAAAGGCATCAAAGCCGGCAAACACAGTGGGGTTTGCCCAGGAATGCCGGGCTGCTGCCCCCCTGGGAATCACTGCACCTCACTCAGGTAAGAGCCCTGCTGGAGCACTGGGGTCGAGGAGGAGAAGGCCCATCCGGTGTTCTCCGGGGCACATGGAGGGAACCTGCCAAGGCCCATGCTGCTCTGCAGGGCGGCCCTCCACTGCAGAGCCTCGAGGGGGCCCAGCAGCTAAGCCCTGCAGTGGTGAAGAGCAGACGATTCCCCCATTCTCCTTCCCGTCAGAGCTGCCGAGGCACCCCTTCCCCAGGCAGCAAAAAAAAGGAAAAAGAAAACTGTCCTTGTCTATAGATGACAAGATTGCACACAAAGAAAACCCTACAAAAATGGCCAAAATGGTTTCTTGAACTAAAACATAAATTTAGCAAGAGTGCAGGCTACCAGGCAGAAAAAACTAACCACATTTCTATATGTCAGTAACAGACAGCTAGAAAATGAAACTGAGTGAGCAACGCAATTTATAACGCAGTAACAATAACTGCCTCAGGACAGATGTAACGGAAGAGGTGTAACATCTTTACCCTGAAGAGTAACAAAAATAGATGCAAATAAATGGGGATACACCAAGTTCCCAGGAGCACTCACGATCAATCGTTTGTACGTCAGATTTTGGTCAGGTGACCAACAAAATTAACACACTTCCAATCCAACCCCAGTGAGGTTGGTCTGACACTACTACCAGGCATTAAACTTACTGTAAAGCTACAGTCATGGGAACGAGCACTGTAAGACAGACAAAGGAACAAGTCCAGAAATGGACCCACTCACACGCAGTCACTTGACAAATATCTGTCCAACTGAGAGCAGCTGCTCTGTGAAGGGGTGACGCTGGGACAGGCTGACAGGTGCACAGGAAAGCACTCCGACTGATCCTATGCCAAGTCACACACACAGAGGCTAACTGCGATGGCTCACAGGCCTGAATGTGGTGAGTGAAACCATGAAGAGCTAGAAAAAAGTAGTACTAAAACTCTGTGCCATCACTATCATTACTAGAGAAGTGTGTGTGGGGGAGTGCCTCAAAGGGGTACAGCAGGTCTGTGACACAAGAGGTATAAAAACAACCACAAATCAACAATAAAAAGATAAACCAGCTCTTAACACCCTCGGACCAGACAACATACATAGCTGCGAAGAGTACCAAGAGGTGCTCAGAGGCAAATTAGGGCAACAATGGAAACCTTACTACTAGGCTCAAATTCTTTTTGCAAATTAACTTTCACATTCAATGTTCTATACATAACATAAAAACAAGAGCTCTGAAGAAAAAGCGAGGCATTACAGAAGCAAAGTACTGGGAAGAAAAACTATAAAACAGTATGTGAAGAAACAAGATTGAGAATTTTGGTAGACGTGGAAGTTTTTTGTTTGTTTGTTTGTTTTTTAAGGTACAGCAGGGGGCTGTGGATGCAGCTCAGTGGTGCAGAGCCTGCTTGGCAAGCTGAGGTCCTGAGTTCGATTCCCAATTACCTTCCCCTGCAAAATAAAAATACAACAGATGTGGGGAAAACCAAGAAACTCTTCAGCTAAAAAATTACAATAACCAAAATTAAAAGCTCAATGGATAGCAGTTCACACATGAGAAATTTAGTGAACTAAAACCTGAAGAAAATAAAACAGGAAAGAATGGTCCATTTGAAGGAAATAAAAATTCTGATTGACAGAAACTGCCCCTGAGGACATTAATCACTGTACTTACAGCCTTAAACACGCTTGAACAATTAAAGGAAACCATGGACAGAGAACTAAAGGAAAACAGGAAAATGATACATAAGCAAAATGAGAACATCAATAGACAAGAATTATAAAAGAGACTGAATAGAAATATAGGATTTGAATAGCAGAAGTTCACGGAGGGATTCAATAATATTTGACACAGCAGAAATAAGAATCAGCAAACGTGAGATATTACAATTGAAATGACCAAGTCTGAGGAGCAGAAAGAGAAAAGAAGGAAGACCGGTGAGCACAGCCTAAGGGATCGTCCCTGGTGCCCCACTGAGTGGACCAGTCGGTGCATTTTGGGGGTCACAGAAGGCAAAGAGAGTGAGGACGGTTCAGGAAATTATCTGAACCCTGGCTGCCCCTTTCCCAGTTTCAGAAAGACATGAATCTACATATCTCAGAATCTCAAGGACATCCAGGCAGCGCAAAATCAAAGAGACACACTACTAAGAGTCAAATGATCAGAAATCAGAGAGAAGCAGGGAACTTGAGAGCAGCCAGGAGCAGCAGCCTCTGTCACCTACAAGGGGTCTGCAGTAAGGTTCGCGGTTGTTTCCTCCGCAGACTCCAAGGAGGCCAGATTCGGCAGGATGCCACGCTTAGTGCAGAAAGAACAAATGTCAGCCGGGAATTCTACAGCCAGTAACGCAACCCTTCAAACTAAAAGAGAAACCCGAGAGATTATTACAATACATGTTTCTGACCAGAAGTGGAGGATCACAAACTTGAGCCCAGCCTGGGGAACCCGGCGACAGCGACACCGCTATAAATAATGAAATGGCTGGGGATGGCAGATCAGTGTGCAAGGCCTGAGTTCAAACCTGAGTCCTCACCCTCCCCAATCACACCTACAGAAGAGGAAGGAAAGCAGGGAGGGAGGAGGGGGGAGGAAGTCCTTTAAGGTAAAATGTTCGATTTTGTTGTATCTGATGGCACCGGCAGCTATTTCGAAAAAACAAGATCTATTGTGGTAGCCATTTGGGATTTACTATTATTTTGTTCTGAAGTCCTGTACTGCATTCATTGTTTTGTTTTTATTGGTTCTGTTCTGTTTGATTTTACTATGTCTGAGGTATGGACAGCTATTTTGAAGACAGCAAGAGGCATTATGGTAGCCACTGTTGATTTCCTATTATCTTGTTTTGAAATTCTGTGTCACTCATACCCTTGCTTTTATTGTCTTTATGCTGTTTTATTTTCTTTAAAACAGAGTTTGAAGCAAAGAAAGTAAATCAAAGTTACTACACAAGTAAATAAGTAAAGTAGTAGTATTACACTTCTAGTTTGTAATTCTTTTTTCTCCAGATGATTTAAAGGGCAAATGCATTACGTGATTATTACAAATCAATTTAAAAGTCACACAATATACACAGATGCAACCTGCAGCAAATATAATATAAAGAGGATGGAATGCAGACATAAAGGAACAGAATATTACCATTAAAATTAGTTTGGTTTTATCCAAAGTAATGTATAAGAAAGTTAAGATGCTAATTATAAACTCCAAGTGGCCACTAGAAAAGCAACTGAAACGTATATAGTAAAATAAAGAAGATAATAAAAATGATACACAGAAAAAAACCTCAAAATCTAATATTTTAAGAGCAGTAATGTGGGAATTAAAGAATGAAAGCCTATAAGACATAGAGAAAACAGTGAATTGGCAAAACTCTTTCCTTATTTATACTTACTTTAAATGTAGACATTAAACTCTACAAAGAACAAGAAGACACCGACAAAGTGGACAGAATTCCATGCCAACTTGAATGCTGCCCACAAACCCTCATTTTAGATACAAAGGGACAAGGGCTGGGGATTTAGCTCAGCAGCCTAAGCACCTGCCTGGCAAGCATGAGGTTAATCCCCGGTACTGCGGGGGAGGGGGGGATACAAGGGGACAAAGGTGCTGAGAACACATGAATAGCAGAAGGCAAAATCTATTCAAATGGCAAGCAAAAGAGCTGGGACAGCTGTACTACTATCAGGAAAAAAGCAGATTTTTAATAAAAAAGCTACAAGAGACAAAACAAGATAAAATATATGATAAAAGATTAAACTCATCAAGAAGATACGTTGTAAGTATACATGTGTCTAATAACAAAGCCCGAAATCACATAAAGGACACATAAAAAGAATGGAAGCAAGAAGTAACTCTACAATAACAGCTGGAGGCTTCCCACAAAGAAGATTAATAAAGAAGGGACGCCGTGTATTACAGAACACAGCACGTGGAACATTCCCCATGCAGTAAGCACAAGTCTAGCACCTTTTTTTTTTTGTCTTTTTGAGACGGGGTCTCACTATGCAGTTCAGACTGGCCTTGAGCTCACTTTGTAGCCCAGGCTGGCCTCAAACACGCAAGGATCCTCCCGCCTCAGCCTCCCGAGTGCTGGGATTACAGGCATGAGCCACCACGCCCAGCTATGTCTAGCACATTTTTAAAAGACTTAAATAATAACTAGTATCTTTTCTAACATGAAATCAGAAACCAGTAACAAAAGGAAAACTGCAAAATTTATAAATATGTAGAAATTAAGCAACACTCTTAAGCAATCAAAAGGCCAAAGAAGTTACCAGAAAGGCAATAACATTTCTATTTCTAAACAAGCAAGTTCTCAAGTCAATAACCTAAATGCATACCCGAAAGAAACCAGAAATAGAGCAAACTAACCCAAAGT